TCTCCCACTTAGTAACTATATATACGTACACAACTCTTAGAGCTTGGGTTCCTTATCTGCAAAATAGGGATAATAATGCCTAGCTAGGAGGCTCTTGTAAGGATAAATGAGATAGTATATATAAAGTTGTACAAATCGTAGCTAATTAGATGGGTATTCCTGTAAACAAGACGTTATTAAACACATATCCTAGGTACTGTACTGTTGTTCTCTGATTTTTTAAAAATATATAAGGTTTCAGAAGGCCCCAGGACTATAGAGGTTATTTCTAATGCTCTAGGAATTACACTGATCTCTTTCTTTGTGAGCGCTGAGTGTCACAAGGCTAGTCTGGAGTGGGGTTTAAGGATTATCACATGAAGATTCTCTCTCCACTCTTGATTCATCCACTACGGTCAATGCTGCTCCAATTTCTATTAAGTAAAAGGTTTTTTCTAATCCATACACATTGAACTATGGCTTGACTTTGGTGAGGTACAAGAGAGTAATTGCTTTGAGAAGGTTCTAGGAACATCAAAACACAAGAGTAGGGCTAAGTGATTTGTCAGACAGCTTTTAAAATTATTGCCTATAAAAGCAAGAAGAAAGAGATTTTCCTTGGTTTTAAGGCTAGGCTTTCACTAATTTTTTTTTGAACTACAATTCCCAGAATGCCATCTACCTTACAGAAATGAAAGCCCACTTAAATTTCATATTGAGAGTCTGAGATCAATTTATTTGTCTTTTTCATGACTCATAAACTACTCAGATCCAAGCAACAATATACCTAGGAAAAGTTTCCAAGACTAAAGTGAGGCAGAGAAAGGCGCCAGTAACTAAACATCACCTGAATAATATTTTTGAGGCATTATTTAGCTAAATGCTTTAGTTCTGTTTTCCTTTGTGGTGCTCGATGTACGATGTGCTACACAGCTGAACAATTACTAAGACTATACCCCATCCTAACCCTGGGGTGTATAGTCTATCATTAAAAATTTCCAAGTGAACCTGAGGAAAACAGCATTATTTAAGAATCTCTGACTCAGAAGACCAAGAATCTAACCATAATTTTGATGGTTACAAGCATTATTCTTTATTTTGAAATACATTTGGCGATATTTAAATCATCCTTTGGTAAAGAACAAGGGTTAAAATCAGGTCCCTGAGCACCCAACAGAAGGCGGAAGAACTCAATAGCTGGGGACATGAGTCACTGATGTTCTTTATCCTAAAAGCACAGACAAGAAGACCTATCCATTGCAAAAGATTTTTTCTTTTTTTTTTTTTTTTTCCTTTTTTTGTCTTTCTCTGATCACTAAAGAGACTGACAAAGTGAAACGTGTAGCACAAAGGAAAAATGAGAAAACGAAAGTTTAGAAACCATGAAATATAAGGGACGGTTGAAAGAATTGGATCTGTTTGACTTGAAATAGGATCTAACTTTTTTGGTTTTATTTTATTTTATTTTTTCCTTTTTGTCTTTTTTCGTGTCCGGCAACAGATTGCAACCCTCAGTGTCGCGCCCGTACCGGACCGGGACCGGCAACGGGATCGCAATGCTCGGTGTTGCGCCCACACCTTGCTCAGCCAGTGAGCGGCTGGTCTGTATGTGGGATCCGAACCCTTGGCGGGAGGGCCGCCCGCTCCCAAGCGGCGCACTGTAGCAGTGCGCCACCGGGCCGGCCCAAGATTTTTTCTTTTTGATGCCCCCGTTCCTGTAAATAAAACTAGTATCATTTATTACCTAGGAGACTATGAATATCTTAGAGTCAGGACAGAAACATGGTTTAGAGCGTGCCGTCAGACTGCCTGAGTTTTCTGTCCCACCACTCACTAAACGCAATAAATGGGTATAATACGACCTCTTCAAGCCTCATTTGCAACCTTCTAAAATGGGATCATTATAGCGTCCATAAATGAGAAAATACACATAAAGTGTTTAGCACAGTGATGGGCTCATGATAAGCATGCTATAAATGCCAGCTATTGTTATTAGGACACTTGAAATAAACTTTGGCTTCTCTTGTTCCTTCAGTCTCCATTATCTAATCTGTCACCAAGTTCTGTCAATTCTTTCATTTATATACATCTATGTATATAAAATTTCAATTAAGGCATTGTTAAAAAAAAAAAAACAGACTGGGAACATCCCAATGTCCACCCACGGGTGACTGGATAAATATATCATGGCACTTCCATGTACTGGAATACTCTGTAGCATGAGGTAAATCTATAAATACAAATGTGGAAAGATACCCAAGATGTGCATGATATTTTGTTAAATGAGGATAACCAGTTGCCAAAGAGCATGTCTAAATTGATCTCCATTGGCTAAAGACATGTAAAAAGATGCTCAAGCTCAAAAGTCATCAGGGAAAAATAATTTAAATCTGTAAAAAGATAGGATCTTATAACCCGCCAGAGTGGCAAAAGTTAAACCAAGATCAGTAATTTTGAGGACTGGGAACTCGCAGGTAAAGTTGAAGATGTTTATTCTCCTAGGAACCAGCAATTCCACTTCTTGATACACAGACCCTAAAGATACTCTTGCACTTGTACCCAAGGAGGCCTACAAGGATGTGCACAAAGCTTTGTCTGAAATAATGAAAACTGGAAATTATCAACAGGGTAAAGAATGGGCTGGCCTGTTAGCTCCGTTGTTCAGTGTGCAGCCTTATAACACCAAGGTCATGGGTTCAGATCCTTGTACTGGTCAGCATCCAAAAAAATAAATAAATAAAAATAAAAATAGGGAAATGAATAAATTGTATGTTCATATAATGGAACTTACATAGTAGTTAAAAATGAATGAACTAAGACCCCATGTCTTAATTCAAACACATCATGTTTTGTAAAATGTCAAAAACATAATGTTGATGGAACAAAACAAGGCAGTGTATATTTATTTACTTATATATTTATAACTTATTATAGATTACCTATAAAAGCGATGAATAAAAGATTGGTAAGACAGATGCACACCCATGTAAGAGTAGGTATTGGTTACCTCTGAGGAGGAAGACAGGGGAATGGATTTGAGAAGAGGTACAAAGAAAATTTATCGGTAATATGTTATGACTTTAAAAATATATCTGAAACAAATATGGCAATAAGGGTTATAATGTATTTTTCCTTATACTTTTCCATAAGTTAGAATTTTTTAATAATTAAAAAAAGCCAATATCAATGACAAAACAAACATTCCTTTAGAGCCCTATGACCTTAGGCAGTTATTCATTTCTGTTGGCCTCTCATTCTCCTTTTCTGTAAAATGGGAATAGTTATGATGAAGAATTAAGTGAAACTACGGATAGGCCTTTAAAGAGTGATATTATTATTATTGTCATTTTTGTAATCATTACGATCCAGTAGTCTCTTTGCTCATTGTGTGTTTGCTCTCTAATTCAAAATGCACCAGGTTGCAGAATAATCCTCCTTAAACACTGCTTCATCTCACTGTTCTCCTCAAGAACCTGTACTTTCTCCTCCTGGCTTACCCAACCCAGTCCAATCAAGGGTGTCTGTCTCTCTGCAGCCGCCCCACACCTCTCTTCCACCCCTAGCACCTCAGTGACAACACTTACCACTTTTATTGTATTTTGAGATCCCCGAAGACACATACAAGGTTGATTCAATTCAATATCTCCAATGAAAGAAAGAAGGAGCAGAAGAAAGAAAGAAAGGCTCAGGAGTGGGCTCTACTTCTGGCTCTCACGTGAGGCCTCGCAGTGACTGTATCCCTAGGACAAGTCATTTGAGCTCTGTGGGACTCAATGTCCTCATCTGTGGCGTGGGGTAGTTATGCTCAACAACCTATAAATCCTTCTTCCAGTACTAATGGAACGTTTTCAAGGCCCCTATAATCAAACCTACTCAGTCTATTTTCCCTAACCTCATAACAAGTCCTCTGCAGTCCAGCTGGGCTCCCTAAGGTGCCACAAACATGGCACTCTAATTCTATTACGCAAATCTTACCTTGTCTTCAAAAACCTGCCCTCGTTCTAGGTCTTCCAGCAACATTTTCTCAGTATATTTGAACTCCGATTTTAGAAAAATCTAATACATATATATAACTTATAAGGAGCCAGTCAGTGTTCTAAGAACTCTCTCTCTATAAATTTATTTTAGCCTCAATGATAAGTGTGAGGTAACCATTACTATTATCTCACTTTTACAGATGAGGAAAGTGAGACATAGAGAGATTAAGTGGATTTGGCCCAGGTAACAACTAGTAAGTGGCAGAACCAGGATTTGGACCAAGGTGGTCTGCTACGAACTGTACACACTTCACATCACAATAAAACTCCAAAGTCAATAGCATTTAACTTATCTGTACACTATCATATCATTTAGTACCTCATCAAAACAGAATGATACCACTCCATTATTTCATATTCCCTTATACTTTTTTGTTGCATAAAGATAAATCTCATAAATACTGATTATTAGATTAAATCTTTATATGATCATATAAGCCCCAGGTGGCAGACCTCTGCTCGCTCTGAAGGAATGGAGCAGGTAGGATTCTACCTCCAATTATTTGTACTCTATTGACATTCATAGCAATCCTGTGAGACAGACAGGCCAGATCATTTGACAGATAAGAAAAAGAGAGCCATGAAAGAATTAAGTGACTTATTCCAAATTATATACTAAACAGCAGCACCTGGACCAAATCAAGACCATGGGACTCCAATCACATGTACAGACATGGCTTTCTGGGATTTCTTCAAGGTGAGGTCATAGCAGTGGAGACACTTGGAATATAGATAGGAAATAAGGAGTATAAGAAATGCAAATGCTGTTATTAGTGCCTATTGCATCATTTTAATTTAAAAAAAATGAACATGGCAAAAAGCATGGCAGCCAAGCTATCCTTAGCTGCTTGGAGACCTGTCTCACACACATCACAAGATGCACATTAGGAGAGCCTGTCCTTGCTCTCACTTGGAATGGTACCAGTAATTATTTAACAATACATTTTAGAACCCGTTATTATCTTCCACAAGCCCATTCCTTACCTGTTATTGGCGTCATTGTCCCAGGTGTGGAGGTTTTCCTCGCTGGCCATCTGAGCTGCTTTTCTGCTTGCTTCCTCTTCTGTCTCACTCAGGCTTTCCCGCAGAGGGCTTTCCTCCTCTAAGCTGTCAGGCTCCAAATCATTGTCCTGGATTTGGTCCTCAAATTCACACTGGGACTTCATCTCTTGAGTGAGGCTTTCAGAATCAGATTCCAAGGAGTCTTTTGAAATCAGATGTAAGTCTTCTTTCTTAAAAGGTGGGTCTGTGGGCCGGATATTTAAGTTGGTATGATAGATAGGAGAGTGAATAGACAGCTTGGGAATTAGTTTACTATTACTCATCTTGAAAAATGCAAAAATTAACAGGTGATATTCTTGTTGATAGGAGCAGTTGGCTGATATTTAAAGTTGTGGTTCGCAAAGGCATTACCTAAAAAAATTATATTTATGTTATTCTGTGAGTTCTGAAATCCCCTTAATGCCAGTGCTAATCATAAATTTAAATGGGTAAGAGAACCTTGTTATACTATCTGCAGGCTTTTGTATGCACCCTTTTGTGTGTATGAGAAAGGTCTATTGGAAAAACTATTGTTTTTCTCTCTACAGAAACACATCTGATGTAGAGCTCATAAACAGCCTGAGTAATCGAATGCAGTTTTACTGAGGAAATCAAATAGGTGCTTGGAAGCAGAGTTCTATTTCTATCTTCTGAGGGCTTGTTATAGACAAGCCTGAACAAAGCCAAATAGTTAATTATAGATAGTACTTTAATAGCCTTATTTCAAATGCCCAGGGCAACAATGTAAATATGCCCTGTTCAGTAGTGTTCATGAATAGAGTAGAATGGGTTCAGGGTCTACCTTTTCTGGAAAGTAAAGGAAGGAGAGAGAAGAATGTGGTTTCCACACTTGAAACTGTAAACAGGGAAGCTGTTTGGGGGACCTATTTCAGCTGGCTACATCATTTGAAAAAAGACGTTTTGATACCCAGGTTGCTATTACATAGGAAGGTATAATTTAGGTGGACATTACATGGAGATCAACCTTAGCTCAGTATTAAAAACAATAACAATGCAATAATGATTAAAACCGTCTGACAAAAGATTTGGTGCCCTTGTGAATTCTGCCACTGAGCGATTCAAAGCAGAGACTGGATGTCCACGTACCTGAAAGAAATGCTGTCTTGGGGAAAGTTGGGTGGGTGGGAGATTGGCCTGAATAACAGCTAGGAGTTAGAGTCCCTTCCAGCTCGCTTAAGAGTGTGATTCCAAGTGAACCCTCCCTGTCTCAAAGGGCTATTTATATGACCTGTGAGGTGGTTTATGGAAAGTCTGCTTTGAGTTCATGTAAGGTTGAAAGGAGATGATGTTCTTCGACTGTGCTCACTTTCATCTCTACCTAGCATTTCTATTTTGGTTTGTCTTCTTACTGGCTTTAATGCTGTTCTTTTTTCTCTAAGCCAGATAACAGAAACCTTTACCATTACAGATTACTGTAAAATTTGTTTTAATGTCTTGTTATGTTTCTTTTGGCAAATCTTAAATTTAATTAAATAACACAACCTTATTCCTATTCCTGGGATTACTTATAATGTTGACCTTGTTGCTAACGTTTCCAAGGAATATCATGAGCTCCTTGGAGGAAAGCATCTTAACAAACATAACAGACAAAAGGTAATGTTCATATTTAAATACACATAGTTTTTCTATTTAACTTAAAGATCCCCTGTTGATAGACTAACATATTTAACATCTAATTTTACAGACTGGTTTGCTTTATTGTCTCTTATTTTAAAAATACATATTGCATTGTGCAGTATTATTTTTATACTGATAAGCAGATTGTTGCTTTTTAGGGTGTTTTTAGAAAGTAGCAAATCCATCAAATATTAACTAACACATTTTAACTAAAACAGTTTGTATATACACAGATTTTACTGTAAGAGTTAAGGTATTTGAGATCTTGAAGAGCAAGCTCAAAATAATCATCGTAGTTCAATTTAGAATTGCTCTTCTATAAAATAATTCAGTCCCTTCGATTTCTCCTCTTTTCTTAATGAGATAGACTAGGGTTTCTTGGAATTAGTAAGTAATAAAACAATGATCATAGAAGATAATAATTCTGTTGTTATTGTTAACAGATTAATGAAATTTGGGACAGTATGGAAAGAGAAAAGCCAAATACCTCAAAAGCTGAGTTTTCCGTGGAGGCCTCATCTTATAAAAGCATTGGGATTAAAGAAGGAAAAGCTGACAGCTTGAATAAGTCAGAAAGTGGGCGTTTTAAGTTGAATGATGTAGCTCCTTAGTACCATGCAGTAAAAAATGCTTGTGGCACTGACATTTCTCAGACAGGCTAACTAACCAATCTCCTAAACAAACACGAGAGACAGGGATGTATCCGACGGTATCTAGGGAATAAGAAACGGCCAGTTCCCCAGGCTTCCTTCAGGACCTGGGGTCTAGTCCACTATTTCTGGGACAAACGAATTTCCCTCTGGGGGTGAAAAGGTGCCCTGCCTGCGCTCACCGAGACGAATGGGAAAGAAAAGGTTGCCTGCTTTGGAACCGGCTGGAGGGACCTTCAGTTTGTGTCTCCCTTCGCCTGGTTCTGAGGGACAAGACCGGCCGCCAGGGGCGTTTGAAGGTCCAGGAAGTGACGGGTCCTGCGGCTGTGCGCCACAGCCTCCCCGGATCGCGGTCCCCGTCCGCGTCCCCGGCCCCGCCTCGGCCGCCCCGCGTCCTTCCCGCCCCCGTCCCGAGGGCTCTCGCGCCCGCTCCTGTGAGTTCTCCCCGTCCCGATCTAGTGGCTCCGAGGGGGTCGTGCAGTCCCCACCCCCAGCCCTTCCCCGGGCGCGCCGCCCACCCGCCTTCCGGGAGGCAACCA